TACTAAAAAAATGGTGATTTGGTCTCTTTTAAGAATATGTAATTATATATGTACCTAGATGAGTGTATGTTGATATGTGAACCTGTTAGGTTTTTGTACTTTTCTGTGTCAGCCAGCATGCAAACACAAGCAAGAATCTCACTAAATATTCAACATATATTTGTAAAAATGGTACATTGTAAGTATATTATTAGATGAGAATAATTCCACAAACTTTTTTTTTTAATGTAGCCTAAACTGTATTCTTCTGTTAAAGAAAGTAAAATAGGCTTAATTTTTTTTTTAAGTTTTGTTTTTTCAAAGATTTTATTTTTGTGTAGAACTGGAAAGTAAGCCAGTGGTGCAGGTGGTGAGTGGATTCACTAAGGACAGAATGGAGAAGCAGAGCAGGTAGATTTACTGAAATACACTGCTAAGGGGAGCAGTGGGTGAGAGAGGAGAGGTCTGCTGTGTCACATGTGGGTTAGCTCCACATGTGGGTTGTCCAGGGATTCGGGGATCCAATTTAGTAGTGGTGATAGTGCTGAGACATAAACACTGATGAAAGTAATTTAATAATAATAAGTTCATAACTTACACAATCTTATTTTGCTATATTTTCTAATCAATTGTGTAAAATATGTTTGTAGCTGATTATAAAGTTTTTACTATTTTTATATAACTATTTTCTCTCTAAATACATTACTATGTAATTCAAATAGGTCACAAATCTAAGCAATGATTAGTCATTTAGTAATATATTTATAGGTATAGACATTTGAAACACTCAAAATTAAGAAGCATAATTATTGAAGATAGCATATCCAAGTTTGGCTACTATGACAGAGACACATGGGTTCTATGCTCTCAGCTTACCTACCCAAAGTTGTCTCTGAATATATTTTTTCTTAGGGCTTCCCAAGAAAAGTTATAATATGTTGCTATAATAGGACTAAGTTTTCCGTAAATGATTCTGGGAGATTGTTGTAATTTCTTAATTTAAAATGCTCTTGTGCAATGTAATATTATAGATATGCTGACTCATATGAAGTCATCACTCAAATATTGAGATGAAGGATCTTTGCAACTTAAACAGTGGTTCTGTTACCATTATTTGAACCAAGCCTGGAGGTTTTAGTAATTAATGTACTAATATTTACTGACCCTTTGACTTGTATAATGAATGGTAGATATTAGTTCTCATTAGTGAACTAAAATGAAATATAGTGAAATGAAATATAGAAGAGATAAAGAACATCTAGAATTATTTAAAATACAGCCTAACAATACATAAAACAGATAGAAAAACCTAAAGAAGGCCTCCCCGGTGGCGCAGCGGTTGAGCGCTGGGTTGCGAAGCTGCCCGCGGCCTCTGCGGCGCCGGTTCGATCCCCGGCTGCTCCCCGGCCACTGGAGGAGGGTCCCACAAGGCGCGCAGACCTCTCCTGCTGCCCGCTGCTCCCCTCAGCAGTGTACTTCGGTCCTTCTGCCTGCTCTGCTCCCCGCTCTGGCTCTAGTGAATTCTCTCACCCTCCCGTGCTTCTGACTGTACCCAGTGCATGTGTAAACAGAACAAACAAACAAATAAATAAATAAATAAACATGCCTCTATTAAAAAAAAAAAAAAAAAAACCTAAAGAATTATGCACCCTTTAACTTTAAGGATGATTCTTTAGGTCGAATCTTATAGTAATATGGACCATGATACTTGTGTATTTTATGCTAACTAAAAAGATAAAGTGTTCTATCTAGGAAATCACTGTTTCTCCCTTCAATATACCTTTTATGAAGGCAGTAGTTAAACACCTAAAGGAACAAAGAGTTGCCTTTGTTAAACCTATACAAGTTTCATTATTTTATTCTGTGATTGTTTGCTATTATTTTTTTTCTCTGTATACCTATAAGTATTTGAAAAAAAAAAAAAAAAACTATCAATCTGCTAGTGAGGGCAAAGAAATAACTATCCATTGCTCACCTCAAAACTGTAATTGCCTATCTTTATCTATTCAGAAGAATCCAAAAATTGAGCTGCAAAACATTGTTTTAGTCCATTTCAAAAGAGGCAGGTACCTATTCAGGAAAGCTAATAAAGAAGAAGAATATACTCCTAGTGGAACAATTTTGAGTCATATAATCATAGAATCACACATTATTTCTGCTTTAAAAAAATTCTTTATTGTTTAGTAGTTTGTATGGTTACTTTTACAATACCAATTTCTTTTCATGAACCTAAGTCCCTGTTGCTAAATATGACATGGAATGTAATTCTGGCCATTCAGGTAGCAGTAAAAGACAAGTCTGCTGTACTATGCACTTGTGATAAACATCCATTAGCTCAACCAGAAATCAGAAGTCACTTCTCAATGACAAATGAACTACAAAAAAAGGAGATTCACTTTAGAGGCAAAATATCAAATAGGTTTCTATTGTGTTTTTTAATGTGTTCCCCAAAATTCAGTTTAAGAAAATGTGTTGAAATTGTCAGTCCCCAGACTGTGAGTTACAAACACATATATTATTTCACCATAAGTCAAAATAGAAAGCTTTAACTGGGCCTCCCCTGGTGGCCCAGCTGTTGAGTGCTGGGCTGAGAAGCTGCCCACATCCTCTGCAGCGCCGGTTCGATCCCCGGCCACCAGTGAGGGTCCCACATGGCACACAGACCTCTCCTGCCACCCGATGCTCCCCTCAGCAGTGTATTTCGTCACTTTGCCTGTTCTGTTTCTGGCTCTGGTGAATTCTCTCACCCTCCCCGTTTCTGACTGTAACCTAGTGCTTGTATAAATAAATAAATAAATAAATCTTTAAAAAATAATAAATTTCAGAGGTATCATGCCTCTGAAATAATTAAAAAAAGAGAAAGTTTCAACTAAAGAGATGATTTTAACAACTACTGTGATAGAGGAACACTTCCATCCCTTCTTTCCAGATACACAAGCATGTTAGAGCAATGGATCGATTTCTTATTTATTTAGCATATTCGAACTCAAATCCGAACAGTAAAATTAGGAGCCAACATAAATGAGGGGGCAGGAGAGGAATAAGATTCAGTAATCACTATCTACTTCAAGGGGATCTGTTACTCAAAAGGGACACATCTCTGAATGCTTGTCTTTTCCCAAGAACTGTAGAAGTCATTTTTGCATGAGCCTGCCTTGGGCAATGTCATTAATAGTGGGCACTACAAAGTCCACTTGATAATTGTGGTCTCTTACCAGATCAAATAAATAGAGAATGAATTAATCAAACAATGTCTTAAAATATACTATTTGCCAAACTCTGTAAATGATAGAAAATCCTAAGAAATTAGCTCTCTGTTTTTCTTGTTTATATGTTTACTCTTCCTATGCAAGTTTCCAACTACTATGAAGATTTTGGAGGAAGAATTCAAAATATTACATGTTATTTATTTTGTTTCTTCTAACAAATACATGCATAGTTATCTAACTGACTTAAGTGCTACTCACTTTTATGAAAAATTACATTAAATATTTAACAGCATTATCTTAAACATTTTATTACTAGTGTTCCTAGTGTTAAAAGTTCTCAAGATTCAAAGATCACAATCTATTTGGGACATAATCCAGAATTCATTATTTTCACCTTAAATATACATTGACAAAATCACTAATAGTAAGAAATAAAATTCCCTTAAGATAAGTCTTAGTTACAATAAAAATCATACAGGGTATGTTAACTACATGCCACACAAAATAGTACTGTATAACTGAATTACTTTAAGTAAAGTCCCTTTCATCCTAGCTACCCTCACTTCCAGACCAACTCTCCTGATTTTGCTATTTTGTCAGATTTTGCTATTTCCAATATTAATTCTCATGACTATTGCCAACATAAGTTTAATAGTACATTTGTTTCTTTTTTATTCCTTCAGTTCTCACTGTATGATATTTATTAACAACCAGCCATGAACATGGGGAATTCAATTAGCACTTCTCTTTCATTCTAGGTTTTGTTTGCAGTGTTATTTTTAGTTTTTCTATTGTTTATATAACTTTAAATAATGTGATTAAAGCCTCATTGCTTATTCCAACAACTGTAGATGATAAAGAGAATTTTAGACTACATGACTAAGACAACTAAAACTACTCATGTAATACTCAGCAGCTCCACAAAAATAAGCAGAGTTAAGGTGATAAGCAGGAATGCCCTCAACTACTGTGATCTATTCACATTTACCACTCAAAGGATGCAGCCTTTTTTTTTAATTTTAGGTAATAAGTTTTCAAAAAATCTAAAGACTGTGTAGTAACCCTTGGTATATTTCCCCAACCAACAGAAGCAGTATGGGACTATAGAAAATCCTGAGCTTTAAAATGCCCTCTCTGCATTTGAGTAGAGTCACATTTTGGGGGAAGTACCTAGATTTAATTAGTTGAGCCAGGACTAATCTAGCTCAGCTGTAAGCTTATACTATCGGATTCCTTTGAGAAATAGCCAAGAAGAATTATCAACCCTTAACTGCTATGTTCAAATATACATACTTTAAAGAGCTTCCGTTTTTTTTTTTTTTTTTTCAGCTTAGAGTGAAATACAGGTTTGCATAAAAATTTAACTATTGGGAAGGTCATGCGTGCTTGTGTGGGGGGTGGAGGAGGATAGAAAGAGAAGAAAGTGAGATAGAGCATGAAATAGAGACAGAAACAGGGAGTTGGGGAATGAGCTTCGGAGGAGGTTATGTTGTTTTGTGTGACAGGAACAGTAGTCATTTGCGTTTACTGTAGTAATTTTGATATTGACTTTATATTTTCATGGTTCTGAGTTATCGTCTGATTTTTTTTTTTTTAATTCATGAGGATAAAAGTCTTCTTTGGAAAATGGTCTCAGCTGGGAGCAGTGGATAAAATCCTCTTGTTTCACAGAAAAAGAATTAAAAATATTAAAACCTAATTTTAACTACCGACTTAGATGTTATCTAGCCATCCAGGTTATACATTCTAAGTGCCAGTTCTCAGAGGGTATTAACAGTGAAGCTGAACTAAACTCTCTGATTTTTTTTCCAGGAAGAACTGAACCCTATCATTGTTACCCCGCTCATCCAAGCCATTGATCAGGACCGGAATATTCAGCCCCCATCTGATAGACCAGGCATCCTCTATTCCATTCTTGTTGGTTTGTATCTCTTAACATTTTACACTCTGAGATACTGTTCTATAACATGTAGAAGGATAAAAAATAACCATGTAGAAGGATAAAAAAAAAAAACTATATTAAATTAACAGAAACACCTTTAATAATGGATATTTTATGTTTGGAAATAAGTACTATTTTCATGCTTAAATAAATTAAAAAATAGTGAGTTTTTGTTCTCAGTTTAGTGAAATGTATAGAAGGACAAATAGATAAACTGATTCATGGACCAAAATATATTTTTTAAAATATATATATATATATTTTTTTAAAATACAATGTCTATATGTTGGTAGTTTTTTTCTTTATCACCTGATAGAAAATTCTCTACAAAATACTGAAAACCTATTGAAACACTATGTGCACTGGCCACATTTTTACAGTAGTTGGGTATAATTATATAGTTTTGAAACAAATCTGAATGGACTGAATAAGTGCTTTTTGTAGCCATGTGGGAAAAGAAGGATCTTATTTGACCAAAGTCACATAATACATTATACCCTTGGCTAATTTCACTTTGACCAAAGTCACATAATACATTATACCCTTGGCTAATTTTCACAGAAGCTGTCTTAATCTATATTTATGAATATACTCCTAATTGTATCAAAAGCAAAAGTTGTGAGAATTTCTTATGTTGCTCTTCTCAGATTGTTTTTGTTGAAATATGGATGATGCTAGTTGTCATTGTTTATTTAGTTACTAGACAATTACATGTAAGACAGATCACTTCATCATTATTCTCTCTTTAAGTGTAGGCCTCATAGTTCTACCACCACCATAGCAGCCATAAACCATCACCATAGCCTCATGTGCTCTTGTGTAATAGGGCTCCTTTTTCTCCACATCCTCGCCAGCATTTGTAATTGTCATTTTTTTGTTTTTGGTTTTAAATGTGGGCCATTCTTACTGTTGTGAGGTGGTATCTCATTGTGGTTTTGATTTGCATTTCCCTGATAATAAATGATGTTGAAAATTTTTCATATGCCTATTGGCCATTTGCATTTCTTCTTTTCAACTCTTCTGCTCATTTTTTTGACTGGATTGTTTGCTTTGTTTTGTTGAGTTATGTAAGTTCTCTGTAGATCTGTGATATCAGTCCTTTATCAGTTGTATGGTGTGAAAATATTTTCTCCCACTCAGTAGGATGTCTCTGTTTTGATTACTGTCTCTCATTCTGTATGGAAGCTTTTTGTTTAATGTAGTCACAGCTGTTTATCTTCTCTTCGTTTTCTCGTTTGTGGAGATGAGCCCTCAAAGATATTTTTGAGAATGTTTTGTCTATGTTTTCTTCTACACATTCTATGGTTTCAGGTCTTACATTCAAGTCTTTTATCATTATTTTGCATGTGGCCGTCCAGTATTCCTAGCATTATTTATTGAAAACACTTTCTTTGTTCCAGTGCTTATTCTTTGACCCTTTGTCATAGATAAGTGGGCCATACACAGTGTGGCTTTATTTGTGGGTTTTCAACCCAATTCCATTGGTCTATGCATCTGGTTTTGTTCCATTTCCATTCTGTTTTTTATTATTATTATTATTATTATTATTATTATGGCTTTATAGTTTAGCTTGGAGTGTGGGAATCTAATACCTCCATTTTCCCCCTTATTAGTCAGGAAAGCTTTGGCTTTTCTAGGTTTTTGTGATTCCATACAAATTTCAACAATATTTCTTCCATATGTATGAAGAATGCCATTGAAGTTTTTTATTGGAATTGCATTTAATCTGTAAATTGCTTTTGTTAGGATGATCATTTTGATAATATTAATTTTTCTGATATACGAGCAAGGGATGTCTTTCCATATCTTTGTGTCTCCCCCTATTTCATTCAACAATGTTTTGTAATTTTCCTTATATAGGTCATTCACCTGTTTTGTTAGGTTTATTCCCAAGTATTTATGCACATATGTATGCATGTATGTACTTATTGGTATAGTTGTGAATAGGATGGTTGTCTTAATTTTTTCCTCTTCAGCCTGATTGTTTGCATATAGGAAGACTTCTGATTTTTGTGTATTGATTTTGTAACCCACTACTTTGCTAAACTTGTTTGTTCTTTTAATCAGTTCTTTCATGGACTTAAGGTTTCATATATACTATGAATATATATATATATGAATATATCTATAGCTAAGGTTTCATATATATAGATATATGTACATATATAACCCTAAATATGCATATATCTGTACACATATACATATTTACACATATGTTCCTTGTTTATACATATATACATATGTATATAGTATCATCTGCAAATAAGTTTTACTTTATTTTTACTTTATTTCCCTATTTGATCAGTTGTATGTTTTTCTCTTGCCTCATTGCTCTAGCCTTGTATGTCTTTCTCTCGCCTGCTTGTTCTAGGTAGGACTTCCAGTATTATACTGAAAAGCAGTGGTATGAGTGGACATCCTTCTCTTGTTCCAGACCTTAAAGGGAAGGTTATCAGTTTTTCACTATTAAGAATTATGCTAGCTGTGAGTTTGTCATATATGGCTTTTATTATGTTAAATTACATTCCTTATATCCCAAGTATTTTGAGAGCTTTGGGTGATTATTTTTTTTTTAATAGAGGCATGTTTTTATTTATTTGTTTGTTTGTTTGTTTGTTTGTTTATACAAGCACTGGGTACAGTCAGAAGTGTGGGAGGGTGAGAGAATTCACCAGAGCCAGAGCAGGGAGCAGAGCAGGCAAAAGGACCGAAGTACACTGCTGAGGGGAGCAGCGGGCGGCAGGAGAGGTCTGTGCACCATGCGGGACCCGCTTCCGGTGGCAGGGGAACAGATGGGGATCGAACCAGTGCCACAGAGGCTTTGGGCAACTTCACAACCCAGTGCTCAACCGCTGCGCCACCGGGGAGGCCCTTTGGGTGATTGTTCAGTTCTAGAAATTTTCCCATCTCTTCTAGATTGTGAACCTGTATGCATACAAATGTTGATAGTAATCTCTATCCTCTGGATTTCTGCTGTATATTCTGTGATTTCTCCTCTTCACTGATGAACTTGTTTAAGTTTTATCCCTTTTATTCCTTGTGAACCTAGCCTAGTTTGTCTACTCTGTTTATTTTTTCAAAGAACTAGCTTTTGGTTTCATTGATCTTTTACATTTTTTTATTTTTATTTCATTTTTCTGATTTAATTTTTATTAGTTTTTAATTTTTGGGTTTGTTGTTGTTCTTTTTCTAGTTCTTTGAGATGGGAAATTGGGTTATTTCTTGCTTCTTGATATGGGCCAGTGTTGCTATATACTTTCCCCTTATTACTGCTAGTATTGTGTCTTATACATTCTGTAAGCTTGTGTCCTTGTTGTCATTTGTCTCAAGATATTTTTTAATTTCTTTTTTGATGTAGTCATATATCTAGTGGTCTTTCAATAGGGTGTTTTTCAATCTCTGTGTAATGGGAAGTGGGGAAGCACCTTGCTTTATTTTTGTGGTTGGAGTGTCCTATAGATGCCTGTTAATCCCATGTAGTATAGATCTTTTTTAGGGCTATTTTATCCTTTTCTAATTTTATTTCATTGATCTGTCCTTTCATGAGAGTGGGGTGTTAAAGTCTCCTACCACATATGCGTTTTCTCCAATGTCTCTTTTTTAAAGATAATAAGTGTTTGATATATTTTGGTGCGCCTTCATTTGGTGAGTATATGCTGATGTGTTATTTCTTTTTGGTGTATTGGCCCCTTGATCATTATATAGTGTCTATCTGTAACTCTTGTCACCTTTTTTAGCTTAAAGTCGGTTTCATCTGCTATAAGTAGGCTACCCCTCCCTTCTTTTGGGGGCCATTTGCTTGTAGAATTGTTTTCCAACCCTTTATTTTCAATCTGTGATTATCTGTAGACCTTAGGTGTGTTTTTTGGATATAGCAGAAGGTTAGATTCTCTTTTCTCATCTAATGTGGTGATGAGTTTAGTCCATTTACATTTAGGGTGATTATTGATACATGGAAATCTGTACTTTCCAATTTGGCCATCATTTTATGATTCTTTTCAGTAACTTGTTCAGTTCTCCCTATTCATTCCTCTGTTGGTTTACAATTTAAGGCTTCTTACAATATTTCTTGGAGTGGTGGTTTAGTAGTAGCAAATTTCTGAAGACTTTGTTTGCCTGGGATACATTGCAGCATAAAGTATTCTTGGCTGGCATTTTTTGTCTCTCTTTTTTTTTTTTTTTGTTTGAATATGCTATTCCATTCTCTTCTTGTATTTAGTGTTTCTTCAGAGAAGTCTGGTGTCAGCCTAATCAGTTTTCCTGTATATATTATCTGTTTCTTTGCCCTGGTCAGTTTCATTATTTTTCTTTATCTTGGACTCTAGGAAGCTTTACTACTATGTGTCTTGCTATAATTTTTCTTTCATTATGATTGCTTGCCATCCTTCTGGTTTCCTGTATGTCTATTTTCAATTCCCTCTCAAAGTTTGGGAAGTTCTCTTCAATTATTTCCTTGAATAGTTTTTCAGTTCCCTTATTTCTGTCTTCTCCTTCTGGGATTCTTATGACTAATATTTCTGTTCCTCGTTGTGTCAGGTAAATTCTCAATGTGTTACTATATCCATTTTCCTTTGTATCTCTCTTTCCTTTTCTTTTTTGATTCCTTTTTTACCTGCATTTTCAAAAGAACTGATTAATATATCCATATCATCTATTCTATTTTCATAGCTTTTCCAGAATTTTTAGCTCCACCAATTGATCTTTTAATGCCCTGCAATTTCTTTAATTTCTTATTTAAAGTTTCAATCTTGTTTGCCTATGCATTGATTATGTTTCTCCTAGCTTTCTTTTCCTTTTCTGCATCTTCTCTTATGTCTTCAAATATTTTACTTATGGCAATTTTTAATTCTTCATTTGACAAGCAGAGAAATACTTCCCTGTGTTGTGTGGTTTTGGAGATTGATTATCTTTCTGGTTATGTATTGTTTCCAGGAGGGCATGTTTGAACATTTGTATTTTTCTTTCTCCCCATTGTTTGTTCTTGTGTTTGCTCTGCCTGGTATGAGTTGTCTAGGTGGGTGTCTGGGCTTCTGGGATGGTGGATATTCTGAGGGAGCCACTAGCAGGGTGTCATAGGTGGTCCTGTGGCTTCTGGCTATCTTGGATTAATCCCTGCTTTGGTACTTGACAAAGTTGTGGCTGGCAGAGTCCCACTGAGGTTCGTGAGAACTCTGGTGATCTGGGCTGGTCTGATCGCAGCTCTCCCTGAAAATTGCAAGGTCTGTATGCACTCTTGGTCTCTCCCTCAGGTGCATCCCTGTAGGTATTTTTTTTTTTAAACTTATATATTGATGTTTCCATTTTGTTCATACATTATATTGTTTTTTCTTAGTTTATTTTTAATTGTGAAATTAGGATTCTCTTACATCATTTTGTTTAACGTTAGATGTTTTTTATCAGTTTTTTTTTTTTTTAATAGTTGTCAGTTGTTAAAAGTCTTTGTGTAGTAAATCATCCATCGGGTATTTTTCAGGGACTTTTTGTTTTATTATTATTTTGCTGTTAATATGTCATAGTTTTCTGTTTCTTTGTATGCATTCTGCTTTTTTGTTGAAACTTGAAAGTTAGCATTTAATAAGGTAGTAACTCTGAAGTCAGATTTTCTCATTTCCCCAGGGTTTACTATTTTTTATTTTAATTATTGTAGGATGTCTCTGTGCTAAGGATTAGTCTGCAATATAAACATAAGATCGTCCTACAAGTATTTACTGCAGCTGTAGCTTCCCCTGGGCATGCACAGTGAATTTTTATCCCCTCTTAAATATTGTTTTTCAATCTTCTAGTCTTTAAAGTTTGGTTTCCAAAAGGGATAAAAGAGAAAAATGGAGAGGGGGACAATTGATACTTCCATTTATATGCCTTGAAAGTCATTTCAGCTTAGGGGAAGAATTTTGCAACAATGGGGGTAAATGCAAAAACAATTGGTGTTTGAATTTCAGTGACCAGAAGCAACACTCAGCTATCAAAGCACAGATTTCTGGTATTTGGTGATCAGGTAATGTTTTGCCTACCCTGGCTTCCACAAACTGTAAGCTGCTCCAGGAACACATGCATAGTTGCTTGTTCATAGTTGCTAGAATTGAGGTGTAGGTAGCTGCTACTGAGCTAGAAACTAATTGAGCAAAATTAATACTGTATTGCCAGTTTAATATAATATCATTGTGCAAGTGAAATTACCTTAAAGTGAGGAGATCAATTTTGGTGTTTTCTACTCTGTTATCTTCCCAGAACCACCCAATGGTAAAGTGGTTTTGATACATTGTGCCAAATTTCCCATCAAAGGTTTTGTAACTCTCCACCAGAAAGGTCTGAAAAGTCATGTTTTCTCACAAGCTCATCAATAGAGTATGATGTCTAACTTGGAGCATTTTGTTAATCTAATAAGTTCTTAATATAACAAGTTAAAATATAAGATATTTTAATTTGAATTTTTCTTCTTAAGTGTAAAGGTGAACGTTTTTGTATATAGTCCAGTCCTTTGCCTTTCTCTTACTGTGAACTATGGTCAATCTCTATCCCAAACCTATTTTATTTTAATGTATTCCTGATCTTTTTATTTTCTAATTTGAAAATCTACATATAGAAGGATATGAATCTGTGGTTCATATTTCCTTCGTTTTTTCATTATTAGTTTTACTTTGTTTATTGTGTATTGCCATGCACTTTTGTAATATCACCATACTTATTTCTCTTTTCATTTATTAGCTCTCGATTTTGAGTCATAGTTAGGAAAAGTATGCCCACTCTCACATTGGGGTAAAATTATTCTGTACATGTATAACATTAGTTTTATTGTTTTATTATTTATGATACATGGATCTCTTTTTCATTTGGGCTTTACTCTTTTAAACTGTGTGAATAATTGATTAAATTTTGCCATGTTATATATATGACCCTCCTGTTAGATAAGTTTCTAATTCACAATACATCCTAAAATCTACTTTCCACTACTGCTTTGTGATGACTCCTTTATCATATGCTAAATGTTCATGTTAATTTTCACTAGTTTGGGATTATCAAGTCTTATGGTTTAAATTTTTTTTAAAACCCTTTAAATTATGTAATTCTTTTCTCACAGTGTGGAGGCAGATGAATATTAGCAGTTAAATCACTCTGATTTGTTTGATATTTGGCAGACTGAATTTATTGTCTCTTTGAACTTGAGCAAGTTGTTTAATATCTCAAAGCTCCCATGTCCTCTTTAAAATTGAATGAATCATAGATCTATTGATGATTATTTATGTAGAACATTTGGCACAGAGTAAATTTTAGCAATAGTGAGTCTTACAGCTATTTTTGTGAAATGCATGTACTCTTACAGCTATTTTTGTGAAATGCATGTACTCTACCATCACATGATTTGGTTTCCTCTTTTTCTTCACTTTGGGAAAAAAGATGTTACATCATGTGAAAAAGTGATATAATTAAAGGACATTTACATAGGATGAAATGTATTTCAAATCAATTAAATACCTGCTTTGAAGAAATATCTTCTGTAGACATAAAGAACATCATTCAAATCTATATTTTTATTGTGTGACTGATGTGGTTAGTTGGATATGTATTTTAAGAAAAAAATATGCTCATTTTAACTTCCAAACATCTTGGGTATTTTGTATTTTATCCTTCTTCAGGTCTTGTCATTGTTTTTTATGACAATATATATAGGAAAGCCATGCAGGCTATAACTAAAATCTATGCACTAGTAAAATAAAACTTTATAATACAAAATTTGATCTCTCTACACTTAATATCTCTTTTCCTGTGATAGAATTTCAAATTAGTTAAAAAATCTCTTCTAATAAAAGGAATTTTGAAAATTGTCTAAAAAATACATTATTTTCTTACTCCTAAGCTAATTGATTGCATACAATATTTTTTACAATTTGTCTTCATTTTCTCTATACTGTGTAGTTTTGAAATTTAATTTATTAATTAAATTGTGATTTTGTTCATCCATTAATGAAGGGAAGTAGATATAACACATACACATATTAGTTACTGCTCTCTATTATATGCTGAAATCTCAATGTCTTTCAGGGACTCCTGAGGATTATCCACGATTTTTCCACATGCATCCTAGGACTGCAGAACTTAGTCTCCTGGAGGCAGTAAACAGAGACTTTCACCAGAAATTTGATTTAGTTATTAAGGTAAATTAAACTGATGTCTTATTTCCTTGTATATTTCAACTGCTAATCAAAATAACCTACACATTCTATTATAGCTAATTTTATTTTATAAAAAATATAAATTATTAGAGCAAATTACTCAAACTTTTATTTATAAAATTGAAGCACAGCAGTTTTAATATGTTGTGTTGATTTTCTTTAAAATAACTTTTATATTCTGTGAGAATAACTACTGATTATTTTTATATATAGTAAATATTCTTGTAAATTGTGTAACTAAACATATTATACTTTATCTTATTTTTCAACACTTTTTAACTTAAGGAATTAACTTTTGTGCACCATAATAGCTTAAATGATTATTTTATAATGTGCATGGATTTGTATCTTTATTTTAAATGCTATTTTTAATGTTATTCTTTTATCATTAAAAAGGGTCTTGCCTATAATTTTTAATATATATTACAATATTTTTATAAATAGAAAAAAGATTCGGGAGAGTTAAAGAGGATTCTGAGACAAAGAGTAAATTCTAAGAGGTGCTTAAAAAAACAAACAAACAAAAAAAAAAAAACCTCCAGAGATGAATTCAGAAAGTCCAGGAGGACTAAAGACAGTAAAAGTTGAGAGAATAAAACCTTTGCAAGGGGAGTTAAACTCTAAGATAAGAACAGGGGAAATGGACATGTCTGCCTGGAGACATAGCCACTGGGAGAAAGAGCCCATCATAAAGTAGGATCATGAGATTTTAGAATGCAGGAAAAAAAAAAAAAAGGTTTAAATACCCCTAGACATGGGCCCACATCCACATGGCTTCCTTGACTCTCCCAGGTAGAATTAACCTGAGAGTCCTTACTTTTCTCCTTCAAGTAAACTTTATTTTCTTAAATTTGTTTCCCTCTGTTTACTTATCTAAAATGTCTGCAAATTCCTTTTACACCTTCATGGGACAAGAATCTGTGGTGGTTCAAAGGCTAAATTAACAGGGCACACCATCACTTCCTGTGTTTGAACATGGAAAAGCAGAAGCCCAATCTTGCAGGCATGATGTAGCAGGCTATAAGCAGTAAACAGAGAGATGAGATATAGAACCACTTCATGAGAGAACATTGTGTACATTACAATTTCCTTAGATCTCATGCATAGAGCTTTGAGTGTCATTTAAGATAGTTTCTTTTTACCATCCATATGAAATGGTCATGCATGAGATTCATCTTCTTACATTGACTATTTTGTTTGAATTATCATGGATTTATATAAAACTCAAAATATACATCCATTGTTTTCTGTTGACATACCTGGAACCCTGTGGTGCTATGCTCTTTGGGAGTTAGGAAACTTGACAAAGCACTGTTTCCAGCTGCCTCACTTGAAAATGGAAATCAATTATTTTTCCCTTATTATCATCCTCAGTTGTCCTGGTGTACTGAGTACAGTGTAACTCAGTCCATAAATTAGAGAAACAAAAATCAATTAGAACAGGCCACAGAATTTTTTTATGTTTTAATAGCAATTTATAATATTAATGGAAAATTTTACAGACATTATTAGATTCAAATGACTATGTCTTGTGTGCAGTCAAGGGAATAATAAGCAAGGTATCAATCTGTGAGAATAATAATGTGCCACCTACTTGAATAATAGCTGAGCATTGTGGCTTTGTATAGGGGCCTATTGATATACTATAGTTTTGTAGTTCTCACTGTAGTAAGTCATTCAAATTCTTCCTTTTTTCTTACTTTGATAATGCTTCATTTCTCATTGGCCATAAAAGTTTTTATTGGATTTGATCCCAATTTCTGTTCAGAAACTAAGGAAAAATAAAAATAATATGAAGTATCTTCTTCTAGTCTTTGAAGAGGAATTCTGCTTTGAAAAATATTTATGCACAAAGTTTTTAAGTGTCATGGATTAGCAATTTATCATCTTTAACTTTCCTAATTTTATCTATTTCTGTCAGTGATTTGTAAACTATGCTGACAAAAATGTAAAGGTGAAACTAGGAAGACAAAATGGTCTAGGTCACCAAGTTTAGAATATTAAGTTATTAAAACACTGCATTCACAGGAGAAAGGGGGGCCTCCCCTGGTGATGCAGGGGTTAAAGTCTCAGCCCTATCAAGCTGTCACCAGCCTAAGAGGCATGAGTTCTATCCCTGGCCAGGGAGCTAACCCACATGGCACAGCAGACCTCTCCTGCCTTGCCCACTACTCCCTTCAGCAGTGTATTTCAATAGATCTGCCTGCTCTGCTTCCCACTCTGTCTCTGGTGAATCCTCTCACCCCACCCCAACCCTGCATCTCTGGCCTACACCTCAGTTCTTACATGCATGAATAAATAAAAATAAATCTTTAAAAGATAAAAGAAACTTCCATTTAAAAACACTATTCTGAATTTTAAATAATTGTAACATTTTAACCACAGTTTAAAATGAAATAAGCATTTTGAATAAGAAACATGCATTTGCGGGCCTCCCTGGTGGCGCAAGGGTTAAGCACAGCACTATGAAGCAATCTGTAAGCCTCTACAGCACGAGTTCGATCCCCCAGCCGGCCAGGGAGCAACCCACATGGCGCAGCAGACCTCTCCTGACTTGCTCACTGATCCCCTCAGCAGTGTATTCCAGTCAATCTGCCTATTCTGCTCCCCACTCTGTCTCTTGTGAATCCTCTCACCCCCGCATCTCTGGCCTGTACCCAGGCTCTTGCATGCATAAATAAATAAATCTTAAAAAAAAAAAAAAAGAAAAGAAAAAGAAACATGCATTTGGTTTGTCCAGAGAAGATCATGTTTATCCCTGCTGTTCTTGTAAAACTATTCATAACACCTTCATTCTCAAAAATGTTTCAGTTTAGATGATAAGTGATCACAATATTTGCAAAGGGCCTCCCTGGTGGCGCAGGGGTTGAGCGCTGGGCTGTGAAGCTGCCCGCAGCCTCTGCAACTCCACTTAGATCCCCAGCTGCCAGGCGGGGGTCCCACATGGCGTGCAGACCTCTCCTGCCGCCCGCTGCTCCCCTCAGCAGTGTACTTCGGTCCTTCTGCCTGTTCTGCTCCCCGCTCTGGCTCTGGTGAATTATCTCACCCTCCCGTGCTTCTGACTGTACCCAGTGCTTGTACAAATAAGCAAACAAACAAATAAATAAATAAATCTTTAAAAAAAAATCAATAGTTAAAAAGCAAAAGCATTAGATACAGAAATATAAAAGCACATTTTGGATTCTACATATTAACATATTAGGTCCCACATGAAATTTCTATAATGAAGCTGAGAAAAGCTATCTAAATTATTTGAAATGAAGTGTTTTGGAAATATTTTTAGTTGCTATAGTTAACAACCATATTGATACTGTGCCACCTACTCAAATAATAGATGGGTAAGAAGGTATTTTATTGTGGTCCATTGATATACTATGATCTTATAGTTCTCCTCTATAGTTAGTCTTTCAAATTATTTTTTTCTGACTTTAATGAAACTTTATTTTTGTTTGAAGGTCTCCAATGCACAGATTAAATGGAAAATAAATTAATAGTTTATCACGTTTCAGTTGCTCAAACCTATCTGTGTTTTATCTAAATCCCTTTAATTGTCATGTTGTTATTCATCTACCTACTTACACTAACAGGCTCTTTTCCTTCCTTTCCTCTATAAAGGGCATATTAATCTTAAGATCTCATCAGTAACCCTTCATACTTCTTGTTCCTGTCAGACTAAATCATATGCAGTCCCCTCCAAGAGCTTTCTCACTTTCAGGCTTTTGTAGATACTGTTCTTCTGCTGTTATCATTCTTCATTTTCTAATTAACAGTCTAATTTACACTGAAATTTCAGTAACTCACATTGTGCATCCCTGATGCTTCAGATACTGAGCAGATATTTCCTCCAGAAAGGCATGACACTGGTAGCAAGCCCCTCCTTGAATGCTGCTTTGAATATGTGTTTATTTTCTCCTTTCCTATATAGGAAGGATGACTGTAACGTAGTTACACTGTGGCCCAGCCCATGTAGATGCATAAAAGGTGCTAGTTAAATATTTGTTATAACAGTTTTTTTTTTTTTTTTTTCCTAACAGTGAATCTCAAACTGTAGGAAGGGTAACTATACCTTCACTGTATTTAAATGCATGCATTTGTAATCATGTGTATTTGATACAATTTTATCTTGTGTTTCTGTTTAGAAGAAGAAAAGTTCTATAAACATTTGAAATAAATTCAGTACTTAGAAAACATCAGGCTTATATTAAGGCATATTTTAAAGCTACTTATGAATGTAGTTTAAAAAAAATCATCTTTTTTAAAAAGAGTTAAAACTTTTACACTTTTTATGAGCCATAGAATTGCAACCGATCAACTTAAATAGTGCTGGTATGCCAGTTCTCTTGACAAATTATTTTGTTTTAGCAATATGAGAATTACAGGACAATAGTATCTGAGAAACTATTAAGGCCTAAGAGAACAGGTACTGCCACGATTGACTATACTTGCGAATCTCTAATCCAAGCCTCCAGAAAACATTTAGCTTCTGTTTGAGTAATGATGCCAATTACATTAACTCACAGGAATTCAATGGAAAACTTGGAGCAGTGTTTTCAAGGGATATGGAATTTGCTAGTTTTCAATTTGCCAAATCCTTTCTGTGTGCTTATTAAGTACCTGACATTTTGCTTGACATTGAACAAAGAGAAATGTATGAGAGATTTCCCTCAAGGAAATTACAATTGTGGAAATTATGCATTTATTTCCCTTATGGTTTCCATATTCACATTTACAGTTACTGACTAAACAACTACCCCTAATAGTTTGCAATTGTGTCAAACTAAGACTGTGATTTTAGTGGTGAACTTACTACAGTATATACAGATGTTAGTTTACAATGATGTGCATCTGAAATTTATATAATGTTATAACTTAATGTCACTTCAATTTAAAGTAGCATATAGTAAACTACATACAGCCTTCCAAAGCCACATGACTTCTACTCTTACTTCTCTCTTAATCAGATTACAGTAAGAAAGTCACCG